ATAGTCAGTGCTCTCAACCACATTTTGAATGAACTATCCCCAGCTGACAAATGACAGAATTGAAATCTATAAAGACTGTACAATTTGCAAAGGTGCCAGCAGTAATGGGTGAGATTCACACCTGAATTTAGGACTTTCTGTTTCCAAAGCACTCTCTTTTCATTAAGTAGTATAATCCCTCCTTCATTATACATTTGCTGAGCACCAACTCTGTGCAGACACTTTGCAAAATGCCAAAATAAAGAGAGTGATTCCTGCCTTCAGGACCCATCTACAAACAGCTATGGGAATGATGGACTGGATCGATTAATTAAGGAGTATATGATCCTCACCTCAAAGTATAAAACAATAATTATGAAAACAAGATATAGAGTCTCAGAAAAGGCTACTTGCATTGATGGCATGCTCTAACTTTCTTCAGTGTCCCCACATCTAGCCCACTGTTCAATCTCCGTCTGTTGGCAAACTCCAGGAAAATCTCATCCATCTATTTCATTCCAAGCATCTGTAACTTTGTCTCTTCTGGAGCTTTTTCTAGGCCTAAGTATATCTTTATCTGGGTTTTGATTCTTCTTCACCTATCCAGTGATTCTTAAATTTTATCTGTGTTTCAAAATCATCCGGGGATCTTGTTAAAACGTCTACTCAGTAGGTCTGGGTGGGACTGAGATTCTGCACTTCTGCAGGCTCCTAGATGCTGCTACTACTGCCGTTGCTCTCGGAAGATGCATTTGTAGTAAGGATTTAGTCTATTCCACTGTTCCTTTAGCCTGAGTTTTGGTAACTGGCAACAATTAAGTAACCAAGCAATCTGTGTTGTACACTTAACAGTGCTGGGTACTTTGTATAGGCTCAATAATCATTTTGGTTGACATATTGCTTATAAAATACAAAAGAAAATGTAACAGGATTATATTTCAAAAACTATAATTCACCTAGAAAATAAGAATTTTTTGGATTCAGTTAAGATTTTAATGAAAGAGTTGATTTGATGTGATCTTTTAAATGATTTCATATTTATTTACCTAGTATTTGTATTTCTAGTAGAAAAGAAAAGTGTAGTGAAGAGATAGCTTTGAGTGAGGACTGGAAAGTTGAAATACTTCATGCCAAAGGGATTTAATTTTCATGGAGAATAAAAAGACAATATGAAAGCAGGAGTCAGGGAGCAGTAAAGGACATGAGAAACGTGCTGAAGGCTTTGAATAGCAACTGTACAGTTTGAGACCCAGGGGCCGATAAAGCCCAGAAGTGCTAAAGACTCATCTGAGGCTGGATCACATGCAGTGTCTTAGCATCAGTCTTCACTGTTACATGATTTTGCAGGCAGTGTTTAGCTGCCCAGACATAAAAGAGAAGAAGACTAGTCAAACTGGCTCGTGCAAATTTTTCTTTATCATTTAAATAGGTTAAAAATCATTATACTCCATGTTGCCTCAAATTTATAAGAGAATTCAACTTTTTAGTTAAAAATAAAATGATGTAATTTCATGAATTAAGAATTTATATGTAGGTAGCTAGAATTTTCAACCAACATAAGAAAAATTTAGTTATTTTCTTTAAATGTCCTTCAATGAAAGAAAAACAATATCACTTCATCCCAAATTGCATTTTAAAAGTTAACTTTAGTAATTAAAGAAAATAAGGTGAAATTAAATGTGATCTATGGATACTCTATCATCTTGCTTTTATATTATTGTTTGCTTGATGCATGCTTCACAGAAATTAGAAATGATACTGACCCAAGATCTTCAACTCAGCATTTGCATAAATGATTCCATGTGTATTTTCAGCTATGCACTGATACATTCCAGCATTTTCAAAAGTCACGTCATACAGTCTCAATTCCCCTTTATGATACTGAAAAGATTAAAAGTGAAAACACATATTCTCAATAAACTTTAGTAGGAATGCTTTCATTTAGGGTTGGGCTCGGTTGAATTTAATTTAGATACATTGTGTTCATCTGCCCCCACTACCTAAGATGAGTCAAGTGGGATCTTCACCACATGGGAAAGTAAAACCCACTTACCATACCCAAAGGCTCTTGTTCTATGCATCCTACAGAGCTGACAGTCCACCTTTTCCCCTCTTGGACCAGCTGGGAGATTACAGTGGGAAGGTAGAGAAGGTTCCCACTGCTGCTACTTGTCCCCAGGGCTAAAGGTAGGACTTAGAGCTTCACTCTTACCTCTGTTTCTGTGGGGTTCAGGGAAACAGTGGCAAGAAAAAAAGGACAATATAAGGTAGTGGACATGGATGAGTAGGAAGAGGGGGGAAAGTGGAACAAAGGAAAAAATAAGGAGAGAGAGAGAGAAGGTAGAATAAAATTACAGAAAGTTGTTTAAACTGAAAGGAGATATTTCATGTTCAGTTTCTAGTTTACTTTTGTTTTTTTTTTTTGAAGCTTTTATATTTCAGGGCCCTTGTACCTGTACCTTATTGACTCTCCTGCTAAATTCACCCCAGGACCACCCTGAAATACTGATTAAACATGGAGTCAGGAACAGCAAAACATACCGCATATCCATTTTTCAGCCACCGGATTGTGGGAATGGGTTTCCCTGTGGCCACACAAGGCCAATAGAGATCACTGCCTATGTCCACCTCTGTATCATTGATATGTTCTACCCACTCAGGAAATGCTGAAAAGTAAGGAACATTATAAATGTCAAGTGCAAGTCCCAACATCCATCGTAATCTCAGGAGTATAAACATTACTACTAGTTAACCTTATTTTGGAGAATACATCAAATATTGTATGTGTCCTGAAATCAGTGTTAGAGCCATTGAAACTGTATTTGCATAGATCTGTATCCTATGCAAATCTTCCATTATTACAACATGAGGTAACTATAATTCAACTAGTATTTTTCTATTTGTAACCCTATCTTATTGGAAAGCTAATTCATGATTAGCACTAAAACGATTGATTTTTTTCCTTATAATATAGACTTTTCAAACCTGTCAAAATGACAATTGAGGTTTTAATGAACAATGTTACAGTTGATTATTCACCTTTTGGATAAAAATTCAGAATTTTTTACACTCCCTCCGGCATACATTACCTTCCTTTTGTTGGAACATTCAGAGAGTGGCCACTGTAACATCTTACTGTAGGACTAGAAAAATGATTTAGTTACTTAACTGTCTTTTCCATATTAGAAACTATATACAGTAGCTATGATTGGTGAAACCCATGATCAAGAGAAATTAGTCTGTCTGATTACTTCATCTGACCTACTTGATAACTAAAGAAAAATACTAGGAAAATGAGAAAATGCCAGAAATTTTCAAAAGAAGAAATATTTCTAGAGAGCAAACAAACAATCTGATAGTCTTCTTGAGCATTTCAGTTATCTCAGTAGGCCAAATAGATGTAGGTAAATAAATTACTATTAAATAAGAAGGAAATAGGAGAAAAGAATCCTGAGTGGACAGTAGCATTTGGTTTCATTTTCTTTGAAAGTGAGAACTTTTATAATATTATAATATTCATTTTACGACAAAAGTAATGTACATATTTTGTAGAAAGTGCTTAACATGTAGATAAATAAAAAGAATAGAAAACATTTTAATGATCTCACCAAACCCCATCAACTTCATACATAAATGTTACATACATCCATATATATACATATTTTTATGCACAGCATATATAATCTGATTTAGTACATTTTTCACTTATTATATTTGTTTGTAACATATGGAGATAATTTTTTAAATTGATATTTGTGAATATGTAAATATTGAATGATAGAGGGTCCATTTTGTACAGAATCTTAGAAATACATAAAACAGGAATATCAGCACCTTTCCTGGTGTAGCCTCACGTGGGTGACACAGAGATGTAACATTACATAATACAATGAGAAGAATAATAATTAAATCAACTTGATACATTCTGTATATGGTTTAATTATGTAACATTCTGGTGCTTCGATTAGACCTGAAGATTAAACTTACTATGTCTCATTAGTAAAGGAGAAATAATAGCTCCCTTAAATTACCTCCTATAAACATCTGCTCTGNTAAATAAGAAGGAAATAGGAGAAAAGAATCCTGAGTGGACAGTAGCATTTGGTTTCATTTTTTTTGAAAGTGAGAACTTTTATAATATTATAATATTCATTTTATGACAAAAGTAATGTACATATTTTGTAGAAAGTGCTTAACATGTAGATAAATAAAAAGAATAGAAAACATTTTAATGATCTCACCAAACCCCATCAACTTCATACATAAATGTTACATACATCCATATATATACATATTTTTATGCACAGCATATATAATCTGATTTAGTACATTTTTCACTTATTATATTTGTTTGTAACATATGGAGATAATTTTTTAAATTGATATTTGTGAATATGTAAATATTGAATGATAGAGGGTCCATTTTGTACAGAATCTTAGAAATACATAAAACAGGAATATCAGCACCTTTCCTGGTGTAGCCTCACGTGGGTGACACAGAGATGTAACATTACATAATACAATGAGAAGAATAATAATTAAATCAACTTGATACATTCTGTATATGGTTTAATTCTTTGAAAGTGAGAACTTTTATAATATTATAATATTCATTTTACGACAAAAGTAATGTACATATTTTGTAGAAAGTGCTTAACATGTAGATAAATAAAAAGAATAGAAAACATTTTAATGATCTCACCAAACCCCATCAACTTTATACATAAATGTTACATACATCCATATATATACATATTTTTATGCACAGTGTATATAATCTGATTTAGTACATTTTTCACTTATTATATTTGTTTGTAACATATGGAGATAATTTTTTTAAATTGATATTTGTGGATATGTAAATATTGAATGATAGAGGGTCCATTTTGTACAGAATCTTCGAAATACATAAAACAGGAATATCAGCACCTTTCCCGGTGTAGCCTCACGTGGGTGACACAGAGATGTAACATTACATAATACAATGAGAAGAATAATAATTAAATCAACTTGATACATTCTGTATATGGTTTAATTATGTAACATTCTGGTGCTTCGATTAGACCTGAAGATTAAACTTACTATGTCTCATTAGTAAAGGAGAAATAATAGCTCCCTTAAATTACCTCCTATAAACATCTGCTCTGTTACTTTGGTTCTTCTAAGGCATTAGCTGTTAGTTCAGAATTCTACTCTGCTGAGAAACTGGAGTGTAGTTTTCTTAATGTGTTGAAGAAAAACCCATAAGGTTTAGAAACCTGGTAAAAAGTGATAGATTATTTTTAAAATTTGAAAAGTGTAATGAAAGTTTTCCTTCCTTCAGGAGACCACACCATGTATATTTGGTATGTATCAAGTTAATATTATCGGGGAATTAGATACACAAGTCTGAAATTCAGGGGAAATGTCTGGGTTAGAGCTCGTAGGGTACAGAATGTGTTTAAAGCCATGATCATGGATGGGATCATAAAAAGGGTGACTGAAATCAGGAGAGATTCAAAGACAGACCTTGATTTATCCAATGTTAGGAAGGCATGGACTTAGGAAGAGACAGCAAAGGGAAATGAAGGTTGTGTACAAGGAAATTAACAAAGTGTGGGTTCCAGATGCCAAGTACAGAAATGAGTTGCAGAGGAGGGAGGGATCAATTATGGATCATTGCTTCTGTTAGATAAGATACAACTGAGAGTTGATCATCAGCTTTATCAACATGGAAGTCATTGCTGATCATGAAAAGACAGGTTTCAGTAGAGAGGTGCTGATGAAAATCAAACTGGAGTGCATTTAAGAGAGAAGAAAAAAATGTTTTTAGAGACTATGGATGAATCTGTCAAGAATTTTATTACTTTTTGGGAGAGGTGGGAAGAGAAATGGGGCAGTAGTCAGAGCTAAAACTAAATGATCTTGTTGAAGACTTAGATATTTATTCAGTTATGACCTACAAATTTTACATTGGGGAGTATTACAGAGATGATTACAGCCTGAAAAGTTTCAAGTATTGCCCCACCCCCCAGAATTCTGTATTCCCAGATAACAGTTTATTTTAATTGTGAGAATCCACGACTTGTGCCAAGATAATTTTGTCAAAGAAAAATGATTCCTTGATATATAGTTCTCAAATTGTGGTTCCAGGACCAATAGTCTCAGAATCTTCTAGAAACTTGTTAGAAAGACAAATTCATAAATCCCCAGTAGACATTCTGAATCAGAAATCCTGAAGGTGGGGCCCAGAAGTCTGTGTTTTAATTAGCTCTCCAGGTGATTATGATGCACACTAAAGTTTGCAAACCATTGGTTTAAAAAAGTCATAATGCATAGGTTCTTCCATAAATAAAAAGGCANTGCCCCACCCCCCAGAATTCTGTATTCCCAGATAACAGTTTATTTTAATTGTGAGAATCCACGACTTGTGCCAAGATAATTTTGTCAAAGAAAAATGATTCCTTGATATATAGTTCTCAAATTGTGGTTCCAGGACCAATAGTCTCAGAATCTTCTAGAAACTTGTTAGAAAGACAAATTCATAAATCCCCAGTAGACATTCTGAATCAGAAATCCTGAAGGTGGGGCCCAGAAGTCTGTGTTTTAATTAGCTCTCCAGGTGATTATGATGCACACTAAAGTTTGCAAACCATTGGTTTAAAAAAGTCATAATGCATAGGTTCTTCCATAAATAAAAAGGCATTGGAAAAAGGGAATTAATGATAAAGGGAGGAAATGAGCTACATTAAATGTATATTTTGAAAATTACCAGAACTTTTCTATATACAGGCTCATGTCATCTGCAAACAGGGACAATTTGACTTTATCTTTTCCAGTATGGATGCCCTTTATTTCTTTCTCTTGACTGCTGTGGCTAATACTTCCAATACTATGTTAAACAGGACTGGTGAGAATGGGTATCCTTGTCTTGTTCCCATTCAGCTTTTCCCCATTCAGGATGATATTGGAGGTGGGTTTGTCATATGTGGCTTTTCCTTCCACATCTAATTTGCTGACAGGTGATTATGATGCACACTAAAGTTTGCAAACCATTGGTTTAAAAAAGTCATAATGCATAGGTTCTTCCATAAATAAAAAGGCATTGGAAAAAGGGAATTAATGATAAAGGGAGGAAATGAGCTACATTAAATGTATATTTTGAAAATTACCAGAACTTTTCTATATACAGGCTCATGTCATCTGCAAACAGGGACAATTTGACTTTATCTTTTCCAATATGGATGCCCTTTATTTCTTTCTCTTGACTGCTGTGGCTAATACTTCCAATACTATGTTAAACAGGAGTGGTGAGAATGGGTATCCTTGTCTTGTTCCCATTCAGCTTTTCTCCATTCAGGATGATATTGGAGGTGGGTTTGTCATATGTGGCTTTTCCTTCCATATCTAATTTGCTGAAAGAGTTTTTATCATGAAGAGATGTTGAATTTTGTCAAATGCTTTTTCTGCATCTGTTGAGATTATCATGTTTTTTGTCCTTGATTTTGTTGATGTGATGTATCACATTTATTGACTTGTGTATATTGAACCATCTTTGCATCCCTGGGATGAATCCTACTTGATCATAGTGTACAATTTGTTTGATGTGTTGCTGTATTCTATTTGCTCATATTTTATTGAGGATTTTTGTATTTATGTTCATCAAAAATATTGACCTATAGTTTTCTTTTTTTGTTGTATCTTTGCCATGTTTTGGTATCAGGGTGCTGGCTTCATGGAATAAGTTTGGGAGAATGACCTCTGTTTCAATTTTTTAGAATAGTTTGAAGAACCATACTACCTATTTACTTCTATTAACTATGATACTAATGGCATAAGTTTATAACTTCTGTAACTCATAGTTGTGATTAAATTAGATATAAGATAAATATTTCTTGATGCATAATATAGTAAATGTCACTGTGTCTAAAACTGTTAATGATTATTTAGTAGTTTTTCAAGTACAGAAATGTCTCTAAATAAGGCATTGATAAAATTTACAGAAGATTAAGATGATATATATATACCTTGAACATAAATTCTTGCTTGGTGTTTATCTTTTCCTCTAATGTTCTCAGCTTCACATTCATACAAGCCTTCATCTTCTAGTTGAATATTGAAGATCTTAAGGACAGCTCCAGAGGTGATGATCTCAGCAGTGCTTGGCATCGGTTCTAGGACTTTCCTCCATCGGATATCAGGAACAGGACTTTAAATGAGAGATGCAAGCATGCTAAAGGTCCACAATGCTTAAAAGACAGTTACGTTATGTTTATAGCTGAACATTTCCATCATTTATTTCCTAAAATGGTACAAAAATTAATGTATTCTCATATGTTAATGAAAAGTCTAAGTATACTTACTTTCCAAGTGCAAAGCACTCTAAAGTCACATTCTGGCCCATCAGTGCATATACGTCCTTGAACTGAACCACAATATCAGCAGGATATGGTTTTGTTGTTCCTAATATTAAAATAAGCACAAACATTAATTAATTATTAATGGTAAATGGTTTTTTTAACATTGTGATTTTAATAGGATTAAAACTGCTTCAATATGGAAGGTTTTTCTCTGTGCAAGTCTGGTCATGTCACAATGTATAGACTTGTGTGTTTATACACAGTATGAATTTCCAATAATATTGGCTCATCCTGACAGCCGCTTAACCAATCTAACTCAATTCACTAAAAAAAATTCATGAAGTTTTTAGGGAGCACCAAATAAGTATAAAACATTGTGATAGGTGCTGTATGGGACTCAGGAAGGTAGAGAAAGAAGAAAGGAAATGAGGAAGAAGGGAAGGGAAGAAAGAGAAGAGAATGGAAAAGAAAGAGGCAAGGCAGGAAAAGAGGAAGAAGAGAAGAAAGAAGTGTTCACAGAGAGGAAGGCAAAGGGGAAAGAAGGGAAAAAAGGAAAACATTTATTCAGACAACATTGCACTCATCAATATAGATTTTTTTTTCATTTATTTAGTGTATCAGTTTTGAAAGTTATGTTATTCCCTCATTGTTACAGGGGAAGAAATAGGCTCAGAAAAGGCTAAATACATTGTTTAGTATTACAACATGAGTGTGTACTTTACACTATATAATGCTAAGGAAATGACTAGATACACAATGACCTGATATATAAGCCAGAACAAGTAGTCTGAAAGAGTGACTGCCAAGGGGGATGGTCAGAAGTATGTAAAGCTATGGGAATCTCAGGCAAAGATGGCATGTGAACTGGGCCCATTGAGATAAAGGAAGTAGCATGTTATGACAAAGCTCCAGGAGTGTGCAAGGAATTACAAAAGTCCTAGGAACTCAAATGATGTTGAAGCTTATGTAGTTGAAGATGAGCTTGAACTCTTAACTGAGAAGGCCTAAAGACATATAAAAGATTTTGAGACTAATTTCCTTAATGGGCAGCTACCAATGGGATTTGGTAAGAGAACTAATACGGATCTTACCTTTGGTTTTAGTAGAAGACCTTGTTGACAGTTTTAAAGGATGAAGCATGGAGAAGAGAAATCTAGAAGAAGGTCAGAGATATAAAGGTGGCTGTTTCATTAATTCAAGCAACACAGGTGAGGGATAACACTAGGGTACAGTCACAGTGAAAACAAAAAGGAAAGAAGAGATACACATTGTATTTTAGAGACAGAATCAACAGTTCTGCTCTTTGGATCAATGTTTCTCAAGGAGTATGTAGATCAAAGGCCCAATTCATTAGAATCACCTGGGCTGCTCACAGGACTTGCAGAGTCTTGGGTCACATTTTTTCCAAAGCTTTCCAGGTGCTTACATGCCAGTTAAGAACCACTGTATTAGCTGTCCTGAAGATCAGGGGAAGAGATGAAGTGATGATTGAAAATGCTACCTTGCGCTGGTAGAAACAAAATGCTATTGCTAAATGAGCTGAATAACACCAAAAGTGGAGGAGGTTTTGTGGGGAGACAACACATGTGTTTAGAGCACTTTGAGCTTGACATCCTTGAGAGCCTTTTGTGGGACAGATTCAAGATATATACAGAATTAAGATCTAAACAAAAGTAAAAGTTTTGCAGATGTGAATTTCAAGTCATCTGCAAAGGGCTATTGCTGAAAATGTGCAAGTCGGTGAGAATATCTCAGAACAAGAGTAGAGAGCAATATGAGAGCTCTTCAAAACATTCATGAAAGGATTTGTATTATCTTTTAATTCAATTTTCCCACAAGCTTTTCAAAGTACCCTCATACAAGAAGGAAGAATATCTTGTGAAGAATACTGTATACAATTTGTCAGAGAGGTGGTGGGAGATGAGGAGTCAAAGAAATTAGGAGAAGAAAAGTTCATAAGAGGAAGAAGATGTGGTATCAAAGTTCAAACAGGGGCTGGCCATGTGGTGCACTGGATTTTTCATAATTGGATCAAATGAGTTGTGAAGCAGAGCAACAGGAGGAATTAGCATAAGCAGGAGGAGAAATATTTCTTCCTCTGAGATAGGCAGTAAGAAAATAACTGGAAGTGCTAAAGTGAAAGTGTATTTGTGGGGAAGAGTTGGAAATAAAATCAAGGAAATTCTTACATGATGGCCACATTTTACCCTGTGAGGTAGGGGGTGAGAGTATCCCCTAAGACTGATAAGAGAAAACTGTGCCAAAAAGATAACAATATTTATTGAATACTAATTATGTGACGATTGTTTAATAAAAATGGAATCTCAGTGGTGTTTTGGCATTTTCCCCATTGTCACACTGTATTTAAGCGTAGAGGCAGGAACCAAAACTAAGTCTGTTAACTCTGAAGCTGGAATTTCCTCAGAAGCTTGAACTCACTGATATTAATGTAGCAGTAGGACTGAGATAAAAATAGCAAAAAATAATCAAATACATTGTTATCTAATTCTCTTAAGCAGCAACGTATTTTAGTTCAATTGGAGCCTCAGAAAAAGACCAATCAGGAAGTCATCTAACATGGTGCCTCGGTAGTAGCGCCCTATGTTAATTACTTAGGGTAGAAAAGGCAGTTTATTAATTTATTTGCATCATAGAAATAGTTTCTTAAAAATATCAAAATAATCTAGGTGTCTTTTTTTTTTTCCAATTCTGCAATCACTATTGTTTACTCTGATCTAATCATTTGGTCTCTTCGTGATCTTACTAAGTAGAAATGGCCGTGAAACAAAAAGCAGATGCCAGTGATTTCCACTGTAACCAATATATGAGCACTTGACTCATGAATCAGTCCTCTGTGTATTTCCTGAGCTATAGGCAATTAAACTCAACTTGACCATCTCCGGGCAATTTTATTAGATTAATCTTCTAACTCCAAAAGCTAAGGACCAAGCCTGTGGCCCCACTCACCATGCAGACCCTCTGTATTGTCCTGCCTGAAAAGATAGCTAGTCTTCCCACTGGATATTTCTTCTTCTTATTTATTGTAAGTATACCATAAGCAAACAATTTTGCTAAAACGGAGTGCAACAAATATGCCTGAAAAGATAGCTAGTCTTCCCACTGGATATTTCTTCTTCTTATTTATTGTAAGTATATCATAAGCAAACAATTTTGCTAAAACGGAGTGCAACAAATGAAATACTTACTTTCAGGTATTGGAACGAGTGGGATAAATTTGCTGAACACACTCTTTGTAATAGAAGGACTGGATACGAAGCAGGAGTAATTGCCTTTGTCAGAGGACTCAACATTTGCAATGTAGAGATTGCCATTCGTCTGAGACACAAATCTTCGTTTATCCATTGTGATAAATACAGGAAATTCATTTAAAAGCCAGCGGTAGCTGAGATCATCTAGAAGAAAATATTTACTAAATATTAAGCTCTTCTCCAAAAGCAAAGATTTTGTTTTCTAGTAACAAGCTATCATCTAATCTAATAGGGGCTATTGTAGAGCAAATGTTGGAAGAAAGCCAAGACAATGCAAATTTTCTAATAGTTACCGTATTTTGTATGAATGTAAGTATCATGCTATGGAATTACATCTTTTTATCTACCTGTCTCTGTTATTTTATGGACAGTTAATATAATTACTTCCATTTCATTGATGGGCTAAGTGATACTCAGGTTAAATAATTTGCTTAGAATCTCATGAACATTAAATAGAATTGGGATTTTGAATCCAGGCCTAAGAATTCCAAAGCCCATGACTGATCACAGAAGAACTAGGATAGGAAGGAATTTAGGGGGCTCCTTAAATTCTTGAAATGATGGTTTCCTGGGATTGGGCAAGAAGTGTCATAGTCAGAAAAAAGTACCACGCAGTCTTTCATTCAAACTGATATTTACAGTAAATTTGAAAGAAGATTGAACTTTTCTGATTCTGGAATAATTTTTCCTATCCTCAGTTAAAATGAAAAACAATACTTTTCGGTGATTTCTAGTAATAATTAAATTTCAAAAAACCAAAAACGTCAGGAGAGTGTGTTCATTTCCCTACAGAAAAAAGGAATTTTGTAACCATACAATGTTTTAAAGATACTGCCCACAAGGTGTATTCAGAGCAGTCTGGATACTCAGTGGTTGTGTGAATACAGAGACCTGGATTTTAATTCTAGATATGACTTTTATCAGGCTAATTATTTGTTCTATTGCTCAGTTTCTCTAAAATTTAAGATATTTTTCTGTGCTCCACCCATAAGAGATGCTTGAAGAGGAATGAAGTAAGTTATAATATTTGAACATTCCAGAGATGAAAACTAGGTCAGAGAAGTTATAGTGGTGATGTTTGTATGAGCATAAGTCTTAGACTATAAGGCAACTGGTCTGACTGATATAATACCCAATATAGATTCCGCAATTTACTTATTTTACAAAAATAAAATACCTTCTATGTGTCACTAAACAAGATAGATGTGGTCTTTACCTTTGTGGGACTTGTCACATAATTAATCTAAATTTATCTAACAAGTTTTAGCTTGCTGGTAAGGCCATTTACTTGGACAAAATAATAATAATTGCAATAGGTTAGAAGCTATCAACTCTCATTACAACAAAGGTAGGAATTGTTAGTGCCTTTTCTAAATGGGGGAGCCAGGGCCTTGCTAGGTTAAGCAAATTGTCCAAGATCACACCGCAACAGGGAGGCAGAACTGATGCTCTAACCTCCTTTTCCACCCACCATCACTAAAATAAAATGTACTATGACTGGGGTGATAGCCACCCTGGCTCTCTGACTTAATGATGAGAATTAATTTTGGCAATCAAGAGCTAAGCCCTGACCCAGTTCTTCTCTATGTCTTTCCTAGCACCATGCAGGTGACAAAATCAACCATCTTTGAAAAAGCCATCATCTGTTTTCCTCCCAGCACTGTAGAGTGGATTAAATAATAAATTACCATGAAATTAATTTTTCAGGGTGACTAAGTGCCAGCACATGTTTGAGAAATGTTGCTTCTACTCATAGATAAATGAGACTTCTTTCCCTTGCCCCAGGAGAGTATGGACCAGACATATTACAAGGGAAATTTGTTTTGACCAACTACAGTGCATTTGCCTAGTTTCACTGTGTTACTTTGAACTATATCTCTTATCTAAACTTGCTAAATAATGTATCTTTCTCCATGAAATACACTCAAAATATTTTAGTGTGTCCTGGAGGAATAACTTGCAAACTTTTTAGATTCTCATGCCTTTTAAAAAATTAGCCTCATTTCTTATGAATCCATATTTAAGTTTATAAATGTGCCTATTATTAGATATTTTATATCTTGCCAATGGTACCTACCCTTCAAATGATGGACTTTTTTTCCCTCCATTGTTTCGCTTGCAATATACAGAGATATGATTTACATTTGTGACATGTGATAAGTCAATTTTTGATGGTTATATTGACAGAAAATTAGCTAGAAATAAAGTACTCTGTTTTCATTTTTGACATCCTAGGAGTTTAAAAAGTCTTATGCATTTCTGAATTATTTATTATGATATAACAAAACGAAATCTAAACAAGTGAGTTTACCTTTCCATGAAACTTAACCCCTACATTCAATCAATCTAATGAACAAATTTATCTACTTTCTCACTCTCTTACTCCCTCATTCCTCATACATTTATTGAGCACTTATTCTGTGCTAGGCATTAGATAATCAGTCATATAAAAAATGTTACTATAAAATTGAATAAACATTTGTACTGAAATGTACACTTGTGAATGTTCTTGATAAATAACTAAAGTAGTTCAAATCAGAGTTTTCCCCTTTGCAAAGAACTGTCTCAAATTCAGAGAAAAATGTAACGGATTGTGAAAGATGAGACATTTTATTCTGTATTTTTTTCCTGTGATAACATCTCTGTAAATGTGAATAAAAAATCATCGGAGTAGTAAAATGTACTAGATAACAATAATCGATTCAAAATTTGGAATGTATTGATATATGTTATTTACTTTAATAATAATACACTGAAATTACATATCCACTTTACCATTTTTAAATTTGAAGCTCCTAACAGTCTCTATGAAGTAGGTGGCACAGGAGTTATTATCCCCAAATTTTAAATGAGGAAATTAAGAGGTAGACATGCCTAAGATTACTCAATGTAGGATTGAATCCCAGATTGATCACCAGCTCAAACAACCCCCAAATTTTAAATGAGGAAATTAAGAGGTAGACATGCCTAAGATTACTCAATGTAGGATTCAATCCCAGATCGATCGCCAGCTCAAACAATAGGGCTCAACAACTATAAAGAGGTACATTCATAATATTCTTAGAGGTTCAGACAAGACAGATTCCCTTGCACCCTCAACCCAATGAAGTTTTAAACTGCAAAGCACAACACCTTAATTTTACTGCATTAGGGAGAAAGGAGGATTTAAGGCACAGAGATGGCAAAATAGTACACACACACACACACACATGGTTTTGAAGTGAATGTCTGTCCTTATATTGGTTGCAGGTGGCATGTGTCATGTTCAAAGACATTATAAAGCTGCTAATAAACTGATGGAAGGGGATGAAGGGCTATTTGGATTTCATTTTGTGATTAATGATGTTTCTTACACTTATTTAAAATCAACTTAGTTTTTTGTTTTGTTTTGTTTTTTCCCAAGTAAATGTATGTTTCTTTAAAGGGCTGAAGAGATAATTGAATCCTTTGGCTTAATGGTTTTAAGCTTCTACCAACCTGTTTTTGGGCCCTGTGATACAGGGCACACAAAGTGATTTATATCAGCTTGTTATGTTTCATTCTCTATGGAGATGTATAAAGTCAAATTTATGACATAATATTAGAACTATAGGAACAGACAACATTTTGATGATACAGGGCACACAAAGTGATTTATATCAGCTTGTTATGTTTCATTCTCTATGGAGATGTTTAAAGTCAAATTTATGACATAATATTAGAACTATAGGAACAGACAACATTTTGAAAAAAATTGAAAAATAATGAAAAATTGTGAGAATTGGTATTAATATGTTGGAGCAAGGGGGTATTAGATAAATAAAACAAGTGAGAATGGGTGAAAGTATATGAAGCATTTATCTTTTAATTAGCACTCTGATGGCTTTTATTTTAGCAATACCAAATTATAGATAATATATATACAAAGTTGAATCTCATAACAGATGACACTTAATTTAGCCCATTTTCTGAAGTGAAAGATTATTTTTACAGATTGATCCTCCCTAAAGAGATTAATAATTCATTATGTCTTTATTCCTTTATAGTGTTTAGTTACAGTTCATGGTACATCGTAGATGTTAAATTGTTAAGAAAATGATTGATGATACACCAGTCCTTGATACTGTCCTATTTCAAGGATAATTCCTAGAAAGTCTATCATAATTTCTCCTGTGTAACAGGAACTTTAATGAGGACGTTATCCAACAGTTCTGTTTATAAACTGAAGTGAGTAGAGATCCTTGGGATTAGCACCAAGTGACTAATGAGCCAAGAAAGGAAGCATCTATAACCACTAGTAGGTGACAAAGTTATGCAAATATTGTGTCTTATTTAATTAATACTGATCCACGATCATTAGGCTAAGTGGGTAATTAATAATTTACCATTATTACTAGGAAAATGGAAACTTGCCCATTTCATTTCATAGGTGCTTACAGTCCAGAGAAGCTAAGTTTACCTGGAAAATGGTACGGAGGATCACAGAGAAGCACCATGCCTTTCCCTTCTTTTACTCTGACCTCAGGACGTTCCTCAGGTGGGAAAGGATCAAGATCTAACAACAACAGAAAGGAAAAAAAACGTTCACTCTCTGTCAATAGACAGACTTTCATGACATTTTACCTTTCAGCAGCTAAGTAACTAACTTTTGAGATACAGTACTTCTCAGTTGATTGGGTGGAAACTATGCAACTCTACTCCAATTTTCAGATGCTGGGATTTACACACACTAGTGATAGCAGCCTGTGTAAGAATTCTGACAATCCTGAAGATTACAAATATCTTGAAGACTTTTGTTTAAGATTTAGGGAGAATATCACTAAGGGTATCTGGAAACATAATGGGATCACAAAACCAGAAATATTCTCAAGAAAATAAATAAAGAAGGATGACTAAGAAGAATGGACTCGTCGGAAAGGTTATATTTCCTCTTCCCATGGGAGGACTTGGATACTGGCAGGGAATAAAGGTAAAAGCAGGACCCTACTTGGGGAAAGTGGAAGTGACCAAGCTCTTGCTCCTTTTCAAATTCTGGGTTTACGTCAGTTCAAATTTCCTTTACTCTTTTCTATGCAATTGTAACACATGTTGCTTGATTCCTTGACACTCTACTGTTTTGATTCTTCATGTGTTTTTTGACACTCATTCTGTTTCACTCCAGCCTGTTCTCCTATTTCTTATCTGTAATCAGTACCCAAATTATAACATCTAATTTTTACTTCTCTCAATATATTGTACACCTATGAAAAACCATTTATTCTAATTGTTACCTTTATGCAGAGGACTCTTCATATTTACATCTCTAGTGTGGTTGACTCACTTAAATGTCATCTCTATCCTTGATCGCTTATTTGACATTTCAGCCTGGGTAACTTAATGTCACCCTAACCTCTGCATGTGAAACAACCATTTAAATGCTTCCTCCCATCCTTGAAATTAGTTTTTCTTGCTCCCATCAAATTCTTGATGAGAGCAGAAAGTTTCTGCCCTTTGATTAGACTACCTTTGGAAAAAATATTTAGGGTCTCTTTCCTTCAATGCAATGCAATCTGTTAATTCTTTCTTTAAGATTAGCGTATATTATTTATATTTCTACTTTCATCAAACTAATTTAATCTTATTGTTCTTCCTGACCCTGTCTCACTCACTCCCTCCTGGTAATCACTACCATCTAGGACTTCTCAAAACACTATTCTTATCCTGTAAGTCATTTTGCAAAAGATTTAAATGCTGACTTGTGAAATTACATACTGGAGATCATCTGGTCCAACTATTCTTCCAAAGTACAATTTTCTTTCAGAACAACCTCTGATTTTTAGGTTAGCACAGTGTTTCTCAAAATGTTTTTCATTATTGGCCCTCATGAGGAGAAAATTTTCATTTAATTTAAATTTCAAATAAGTAATTAAATGAACTAAATATAATTTAATTTCTTTCTACTAAGAAATGAAATACTGGGGAATAAGATTTTGTCAAGTAGGGTTGAGCTTTGGAGAGCCACACATCATATGTTGTAATATCTAAGATGATTTCCTCCCCTAAGGACCAGTTTTTAACCTCTTGGGGGTGAACTGCCCCCAGTGGGAATGCAAGGTTTAGCACTTCCATTAATGATAGTTTTTAAAAAGTCACTTAAGATCTTTCAGAACATGGCTGTAGTTTATTGTACAAAATTATCTTTCACTATTTCAAGTGCATCCAGCTTATCCCTCACAATGCTTTGCTGTCCTAAAATGTTTCCTTCACCACAGATTTCAGGCTCACTCATCTTGTAAGATCTACCCCATCTATGGTGCTTTCCTCTCCTTCTTCCTGTTTTCTTTTCTTGCTGAACTCTTACGATAGCATATATTGGTACCTATTTTGAATGTCACAGCAGAGTTCCTTTATTTTAATTTAAAGCTTTCATATATGAATGGCTTGCCTCACTACCAACAATTTGCAACCAGTGTGTGGGGAGGAATGTGTATTCTTTAACATTCCACACAATAAGCATTCAGTATTTTGTTGGAATGATGAGGCAGGAATGTCCATTTTTATTGGGAGAAGTAAGTAAAAGGATTTTAATAGAAAAAAAAAAAAAAGCCAAGAGTTGACCACCACAGAATCAGCTCTCTAGTTTATGTAGATTTTTATCAATAATGAAAACATTTAATTTTTACTTAACCTAAGTACACTTGCCCTATTTTAAAGTTACAGTTACTTACATCCAAAGCTCAGGGTTGCTTCTGTGCTTCTGACCATCCCATAGTTATTTGATGCTAAACAGTAGTATATTCCAGCATCTTTATGTTTGTCAGGATTGTTTATAACAAGGTTTCCTCCTACCATACTGTATCGTTCACTTGTCAGATCAACATCCCCATTATTCATTCTCCACCTATGAGAAAAAGATAAAAATGTATATCAAAGGTGGGCCCACAAACTGTGGTGGGCTGTGTTCTAAAATAACTTGGGTAGAGCTCCACGTGAAATCAGGTGAGGAGGTATATGACTCAAGGTGGTATTTCTTCATACCCTATAAGTCTGAATGTCTGGGATCATGTTTTATAATTTAGTGCAGTTACAGAAAAGTAAATGATAAAGTGTGTGACATATTTACCCTTTTTTCATGAAGTTTCCTAAACGACAAATATGTTGAGTTTTACTACATAGATTGATTTCTTAGCAGATACACATGGGTTATAATTGATAACCACCTACGTACTACTGAGATTCACACATATACAAATATGTTGTTTAAAATACTAAAGTGAGGGGCCGGCTCGGTGGCGCACTGGATAGTGCGCCGCCTGGGAAGCGCGGCGGCGCTCCCGACCGAGGGTTCGGATCCCACATACAGACTGGTTCCCGCTCACTGGCTGAGCGAGGTGCGGGAGCAACACCAAGGGTTGTGATCCCGTTGCCGGTCCCCGGTCCGGTAGGGGGGCAACACTGAGGGTTGCGATCCGTTGCCGGACACGGAAAAAGACAAAAAGACAAAAAAAAAAAAAAAACTAAAGTGCATTGCTATAGCTAAAATAAAATATAAAATATCAGTATCTGATTTTAAATATCAAAGTAATTTTTCAATAAGAAAACTAATGGATTCAGGGTTCTGCTCAGTAAATGGAATATTCTGACCACTAGAGGTCGATCACACAATTTGAAAATGGTGAAAGTCAGCTGGGTCCTTTGATTCCAAGCCACAAATAAATTAATAAAATCCAATATTCTTCAGCCTAGAGTTGGTGGTCACTTATGTGTTTTCTCATTATTCAGGGAATATTTTTGGTAAAAGCATTTTTCCCCTAACACATAATCTCATAACAAAGTAGGTGAGACACGTTGCAGATAATCAGACCATTAATCAATAGGGATTGTGTTATAAACGGACTGGAAACAGGGATCTAACTTTCTTGGTGAGATGCTGAAAAGAATGCATGTAGAAAATAGCTTTCAATTAAGATGACCACCTGCATAATTTTATAATCATTCTGTATCAGAGTTTATCCTTCAAGGTTCCATGTCCTCAAGAATGTCACAGATAAGAGCGTTGATCAAGTAGATGAAGTAGTGGCTGTGGCTACATCACTCCTTGCCTGGCACGTTTCTGATTAGGGTAAGACTCAGGCCAAGAAGGCCTAATAAGTTTAGACTGTCTTTTATGAAATCAAAGTTACTGGAACATTTTTAGTTATAATTTTTATAGTGTAAGAGGTAATTTAAAAGCAAGCATAGAAAATTGTGCTTTTACATTTCTAAAACCTACCAATAAATAAATCAACCCAATAAATAAATCCTCGCTGTCACCCCAACTGATGGCAATATTGTCCCTGCCTGAACCATCCAGTGTCAAGCTGCTTAGCCCTTGTCGAGCGAGATAGGTGGTTTCCTTTTTCGGCAGCTCCAATTGCTGGGATCCCCATGACTCCCATTATGTTGCTCCAAATTTTTGTTTATTGACTTAACTGTCTCACCATAGATCAGATTCTGCCTATGATATATAATGATCAAGTTTTTCTGTGTTTGGGTAAGTTCACTGGTCTATTGTCAGAAACATGCACTATTGTTAAAATCTCTTTTACACTGCTTTAAATAAAGTTTTAATTGTAGTGCTTGTTGCTATAGGGGTGGGGCTAAGATAATGAAAACTTCAAGTCTGATTGAGTAAGAGGTAAAGTTCCCCACTGTACCTCTCAGGATGTTGTCATGACTAACACATTTTCACAGAACATGCAACAAATATAAAACTACTGCATGAATGACAAATTGCGTGATCACCAAGGGTTAGTATGGCTTGCCCTGAATATTAAGTAAATTTTATAAACTTCAAGTGTTCTTTTCCATCAGACCATCTGCATCAGGAGCTGATTTTCTCTCTCTCTCTCTCTCTCTGTCTCTCTCTCTGTCTCTCTCTGTCTCTGTCTCTCTCTCTCTCTCTTTTTGGTTGTCAAATGCAGACTGCCTTCATAACAGGATTAAACATCCACTTGTCCCCTCCAGCTCTCTACATTAATGAATAGATAGTCAGGCCAAACTCAAACTGTGAATTTCAGTGCTAGTGCAACCTGTGAGAGGAAGGTGGTGATGTATTTGACAAGCAAAGTTCTGCTTCTTACTGTCTCTGCAGGGTGGGGAGAACAGGGGCAGCAAAGAGAAGCACAGCCCTACCTATGTTTCTAGAACACTATCTGAGAACAACCCCTCTGTGTTGTTGCTTCCATGCCAGTCTGGAGGCTGATTTTCTAAGTTTCCCTGAATGAATGTCAAGGACACAGTGTCACAGAATGAGCTTCACTGAAATAGCTTTTGAGATTCCATCAGTCGATCCAGATAGACAAATACTGAAAAAATTCTATAATTCTTTGGAAGTCATAAAACCTGTGTTTCAGTCCTGGATCTGTGATTTACTAGCTCTTTGGCAAGCCAATTTTCTTATTCAGGACTCAGCTTCCTCTGCTGTAAAATTGCCTTGGATTAGATCTCCTCTCCATCCCCTATTAGTTATACTATTTCATGTCCATGACTATGTGCATAGGCTCCCATTGTCTATGGCTTAAGGGTAGAGAGAAGTCTAGCCCATCAAATATTTTCAAAACAAATGTTTATTTATAATCTATAAAATACCTACTTATATTGCACTCCCATGCATGAAATTAAAACAATAAAAATAATTTCATAGGGACAGTGATTTTGTATCTCAATACATATTCTGTTTTAAGAATAATTTTGTAATTATAGCCAGAGGCAAAAGAAAATGAGTACAATTAGAATTAAATAGGGGCAAGGGGATATCCTCTTTGATAACAACTTTTTCTATCCCAGAAAAAAAAATTTACTATTAAAATCAACATTGTTGAATGACAACTTTTCATTAAGTCAGGTGACATTAACACACTAGAGCCCCCAGTTTCCTCATCAACCATTTGCTTTGTCTTCATGGAATCATTTCACAGGTGAAGTTCAAATCCATTGGCATTTGTTTAATTTTTGAATATTATTGAAATTGGTGACTTTTAATTAAGACATCCAACTTGTTTCTTACTCAGCTTGCTCTTTACCTTGTCAGGAAAATTCCACTAAGGAGCTGCACACATAATACTGTTGATTCTTGCATAACTAGCATAGTTGAGTCAAGATCATATGACTTTCTTCCTGCCATGTTCCTTAACATAGCATCTCTTATGGTAATGTCACAAGTTGTTTGTCTAAGATGTTTTGCAGGATGCTTGGAGTCAGACTGTTCTGAACAGACTGTGGCCACAGACCTGTCTTCTGAGACTATGTTGGTGTCCAGTGGGTGACCTTTTGAAGACAGAGGGCTGAAAACTCCACCTCCGCTTATGGTAATGTCACAAGTTGTTTGTCTAAGATGTTTTGCAGGATGCTTGGAGTCAGACTGGTCTGAACAGACTGTGGCCACAGACCTGTCTTCTGAGACTATGTTGGTGTCCAGTGGGTGACCTTTTGAAGACAGAGGGCTGAAAACTCCACCTCCAGATCATACTAATGCCACCATTTTTTTGAACATGCGACTCATGAAGAAGCATGCAGACAGCTTATGCCTGCACAGATAGCCAAAGAACTTCCTTAAATTTTTATCCAATCACTGCCCTACCTGATCCTCACCATTCCTAATCTACTCCCCATAAATGTCTCTAACTCCATGCCATCAAAGAGACAGATTTGAAATTATTCTCTCATCTTTTCATTTAGCTGCCTCACATATTAAAACCTTTTTATCTGCTGCAAATACCAGTGTTTCAGTGTGTTGGGTTGCTATGCATCAGTCAACAGACACCATTCAGTTATGCTATAGTTTGCATCACATTAAAAACTGTTAGTATATTTTTCTGAACCTACGAAACAGCAAAACTCATTGTTGTTTTTCATAAAGTTGTTTTTGATAGCATAAATATGTAATCCAGAAAAACAGAAAGAGATATGTTTATAGAGATTGTCTAAAAGGTAGAAACATTTAAGGAATTTGCTATGTTGTCTGCAACATAAATTTGAGAACATTAGAAAAGGCGGATAGCATAAATATGTAATCCAGAAAAACAGAAAGAGATATGTTTATAGAGATTGTCTAAAATGTAGAAACATTTAAGGAATTTGCTATGTTGTCTGCAACATAAATTTGAGAACATTAGAAAAGGCGGTGCTTTATAGAATTACCTATGCGAGCTCTTTAAATGTAATTAATATAGAAATAATATCCATATCTGTAGGTATGAGTTACCTACGTCAATGCATACAAAAACATTTTATCCACAAATATGTATATTTAAATTATTCATAATTTTAATATAACCATGTGCATGCTTAAAAGCATGATCTCTATTAGACAATTTGCAAGTGGGTAATGTACAATGCCTCTAGCATTCTCTGAGCAGAAAATGGTAAATAAATTATCTGCATATATTTAAGAACACCTATTATCTATTTGGGTATTAGACTTTTAAATAGCTCGTATGTCAATATTTTTGTTAATGTCCATGGAATTCGTAGAAGGCTTTATATTACAGCTTTATCAGTACAGAGTCATAGACACTGATCTGCAATCACTTGTCTGGCACTCCATTCTGAAAAGAGCACTGAGGTACATTACTTGTACACCGGGAAAGGGCTGGCTCGTGCCCTGCAGTTAAGTGAAACTTTTCCTTCCAGTGACTCTTCTGGATAAATGGTATTGATGGGTTGCTCTTCAAAAATTGGTCCAAATCCTTTGTCTTCCTCAGAAACTGCCAGAAAAACAAAATCATTTTATATCGTGCTGTTTAATAAGTCAAAGAAAATTTGTATACACTGAAAAGTTATTTGGGAAAAATGTCAGAAATATAGAAACTCCATTTTAATTCAAAACAAAAATATTCACATTCATAATCCTGAGGAAAACATTCAGGTTCTTCATTCAAAATTCTTCTCCACCCATCTCCCATCACTTCTCTAGAAGTACCCAGTGCTGCCAGGCTTAACCACTACAGTGCCTCAAACAAGCCATGTTGCATGCCCCTGAGACTTTGCATATGATTTTCTTCTTTCTGAAATCACCATCCCACTTTTCCCCTCCTATCAACATTTGTGTGGTCCTTTATGACCTAGAGTTAGTTCCTTCAGGAAGACACCTCACATCTTTCCTGGAGTTAGGTGGTCCTCTTTTGTGTTTCCATAGCTCCCCACACATGATGTGGTACTTAACATACCTGCTGCGATTTTTTGATACAACTTTCTATTCTGCTAGACTGCAAATACTTGGGGACAAGTGGCTATGTCTTTAATCTCCATACACCACTCTCTTAGCTATCTACCTGTCCAGAACTCAATAGGTGCAAAAAGACTTTTGACAATAGAATGAATAAATAAATGAGTTTCTAGATGTTCTGGGGAAATCAGTTTCTTTCCTGGGTAAGCTCTTGTTATTTTTTTTCTGAACATGTGATCAGCACTTGTACTTAGCAACCTCTAGAATAATCAGTAAACAAATTACATGGATATGGGATCTGACCAACTGGTTTAAAATTCATTACAAACATACCCCATTGGGAAACAGTTGATCCTGACAGTCTATTCTCTATGGAAGTGAAGAATGACTCCTCACAGCAAGATTAAGAGGTGGGAATCTCTCATATGTCACCAATGTGGCAGTATTTACACAGCACAGCCAGGAGCCATATGCCCCAAATGAATTAATAATGACCTGTGTGGCTACAAAGGACGACTATTCTTACATGAGATCACTGGAATGTTTCTGCTAGATCAAAGCCATGGTTCTCTTCTCCAGCGTATTTCCTAAGAGAGAATTTAAGGCAAATGGCACACAGACATTTTATCTTCTCTAACACAAACCTTGAAAATGAGAACTCTGTTCCAGCTTCCTGGAACAAACAGTTTCATTATGTCATTTATTTATTTTGGCAGCTGGCCAGGATAGGGATCCGAACCCTTGACCTTGGTGTTATCGGCACCATACTCTAACCAAGTCAGCTAACTGGCCAGCCATTATGTCATTTAATTCTCACCTCAGCCCCATTTATCAGTGTACCTTTGGACAAATTATTTAATCTTTCCAAGTCTCAATATCACCCTTTATAAAATGGGGATAATAATAAAATCTGTCTCATAAGGTTATTGTCAAAATTATTTTAAGACAACGCATGGAAGTACATGCCTGGCTTATAGTCAGCAATCAATAAATGCTGATTTTGCAAACACTCTCATGAATTTTCCAATCCTTTCAAAATTTAATTTATATTTCTTGTGTAATAATGAAGCTTCTAAAAGCCAGAAGCCAACTTTTTGTCACTCTTGTGGGTATGGTGATACAAGTATTAGCATTATGTCTTCTGGGTACATATTTGTCGTATACACAGATGGTTAGTACAATTTTTAAGTTAGTTTTCCCAAGTATGAAGCATTAATTTCTCTAAACTAGCCCAAAATGTATCAAAGGGAGCTGTCTAATTTTTAGTTGGAATTTGCTGAAATTGCCTAGCCAACTTTTTGTCACTCTTGTGGGTATGGTGATACAAGTATTAGCATTATGTCTTCTGGGCACATATTTGTCGTATACACAGATGGTTAGTACAATTTTTAAGTTAGTTTTCCCAAGTATGAAGCATTAATTTCTCTAAACTAGCCCAAAATGTTTCAAAGGGAGCTGTCTAATTTTTAGTTGGAATTCGCTGAAATTGCCGTTTAAGAATTTATAAAACTCACGCGCATTCCATAACCACCATCCCAATTCAGAGAGCAGATAAATGGCTGGATCAGAATCACGAGAACCAGAGGAACTGAGATTTAGCTCCAGAAATATACTTTTCTAGCTGTTGTTTTATGCAAAAGTAAATATAAGGAGTTCGCAGGTGCTCTCTGCCAATGATTTTGAAAGTCCTACTCTGGGCTGTCTATTTCCATATCCTTCTTGAGGTTGTGAAAACCAGAAAAGCATATGTCTTCCGCTTTACTTCTAATAATTTTTCTGATGAAGCCTGATATTTTCTGGCCTTTCAGGATGTAACAGCACACCAGGGAAAAATGAGAAATGAATCCCAAGTCCCTGATGACTAAAGACTTTCATTTTATATACAGGGCCTGGATTTTCCATTCTCTGAAAGAAATGACCTTGTGCTTATCTACGGTAAAATCATATGCTATTTTTCTTCCCACTTGGACAACTTCATAAGCTCTTCCTTGAGTCTCTCCCAATTGCACAGTTTTTCTGCCTGGAGCAATATAGTAACACCTGATGACTTGAAGATCCTTTTGTTTCTTCCTAATTCACATTTAAACACTTAGAAAGACAAGTGAAGAAGTGCTCTTCTATTAATATATTTAGATTCTTTTCTTAATGGCAAGATGACTTCTATTCCCACTCTACCCCTTGATAAATAATGAATTTAATGTGAATTATTTCAAACAATCTGTTAAAAATCTAAATACATAAATATTTAGAAAACTAAAAATAAGTATCATTTACGGGAATATAAAGCTCATAAATATCTTCTAAGTACATTGTATTAATGTGACAAGCCTGATGATGATTTCATTATTATTATTACCAATGGACAAGATCATCAGATTTAAGGAGAAATGGATATGTGATGCAATCATACATATACTTTAAACAGAAGACCACTGATCTGCTCTAAATTGGGTCTTGAGTTTCCACTTCCTACAACAATACTAGCACAAGAATTCAGATGGTCACCTTGTGGGCTACAATTTAAAGAACTACAGATATTAGTTGTCCTTAGTTTAGTCAATGAATTGAGTCTGACCTTGAGTACTGCAATGAGGTTTTAGATACAACACCAAAAGCATGATCGGTGAAAGAAAAAAAGGTGGATAAGTTGAATTTTACTAAACCCAAAACTTCCGCTCTGTGAAGGACATGGTTAAGAGAATCTCAGGTCTTCAGCATTAAAAGTTTTTCTTTGGACCTTCTTCAACTTGCATTCCACAAGCAGGGAATTGGTGAGACTTTTAACTAAATGTCTGTCTCATTTAAAAATGGGAAATACAGCAGTAATTGCATATGACTTTGTAAAATGTGAACTCATTTCAAGAGGTATAGAGTTGCATTAGCTAAAGACACATTGCAAGATTGTATTTCCAGAAAGTAGAAATACAATTCAGGTCTATCTAGCATCTGCTTCTGTAATGCCTTCTGGGAGTGCCTTATAGGAAGGGTCATAATCCAGAATTCTTAATTTAATCAATAATTTCATTAGGTCCCTCAAATGGACTACTTTTATAACTTTGAAATAAGGTGAGTTATGTTTATTCAGAATTGCCTTGATTATTGTAAGTACTGTATCATACCTTCAAGCACAATAAAGACAGATTCAGATGAGCACATATCTATGTAGATATTAGTTAGTAGATTTCCACATTTTAATTAAATGATGTCTTAAATATTTCTCTTGATAACATACCTTCTGATATTAAGTTACATGCTTTTAGGATAAAGGTTGGTCAACTTCTAGAAAATTGAGGATATTTTTTAAGTAGACTCTTCATCTTAATAATATGTATTTTAAAAAGTTTAATTTTTTTCTAGAAAAGGTACCAGCAATGAAAATTTCCATTGAACATTATGGACTGTCATATATGAATTATGACGAGGCTTTACCTATTGAGACATATTGAGGTTATGTATATATATGAGAATAGGCAATCCTTCAAAGTGTATATAAAGATTAAACAATTTGGGGATAAACTTTTATTGAAAAAACTGGGTAATATTAGTGACCCCTGCTATTTTTCTTCTTAATGACAATACTTTTCAAAAATTACATGCATGTATTTCCCAGTACTCTGCTTGCATCTTAACTTTATAGGAATAGACAATGAAACCTTTAGGGGATTAAAACATGAAGCTAATCTCCAACAAAATACTAAAATTATCTTTCACACTGAGAAAATCTTACATTTAATATTTTACTTTTGCCCATTTCCTAGATCAAAAAGCAGACTAGGATACACGTCACATCATATTAGTGTGTCTAGTAAGTATTGTTTTACAAATATAAGTCTCTTGCTTTTCTAAAATTTTGAAGTCCAAATAAAATAACGTATACCATTTGGTGGTTTAACAATTGCTCTTTATATTTTACTTTAGACACATGTTTGGGCCCTTGAAAGATAATTACTCAAAAAAAGCATTGTATCGCATTGCCATGCTCAGCATGCATTCTGAATATGAACCTAATAACCCCCTTGAAGACATTACCTGAGCTCACTGCCCTTCTAAATTAACTAGGGTGCTCAGACCCAGGGAAAAGAACTTTCAGGGATAATACGAAACAAGGCTCAACAAAGGATCCATTAACACAAGCACTATACTCTCAGTCTACAGAAAATACTCCCATCTGTTGCTTTTTTCTACAGCCATGGAAAGAATTCATCAGGGATAATACGAAACAAGGCTCAACAAAGGATCCATTAACACAAGCACTATACTCTCAGCCTACAGAAAATACTCCCATCTGTTGCTTTTTTCTACAGCCATGGAAAGAATTCAATGACAAATTTTGACGCTTTGGAAATATTACCGGGATGAAAGGAACAAGAAACAAAACACAGATAATGACTATGGTTTTTTAAAAATCTAAGATTATTTTTTAAATACATTCCTTTTTTCTTGCTGGATAAATTCTTCCAAAATGTATCATAAAGTTATAGATGACTTCTTATGCTAATTGAAGTTTTAACACTTCACATCACTCTTTTTTTTGATTTGTTCTTAATACAGATTTATTTATTTTCTACCATATAATGTGACTATCACAAATCTATTACAGATGTTAGGTATACTTCTCAAATTTAATAAACAAGATTAACCAGAAAGAAATAAATCAGGTATAAATATTTACAGTCAAATTTACAAATGTGAACAACAGGCAAAACCTACTGCTTTTTTTCAGTATTATTCTCAGTTTATTATTTATTATTCTCAGTATTATTCTCACAATTAATGTGATTAGTCAGTTGCCTGATCTGAAATGGGATTACTTCACCTCTCACTATGTGGAAATGGTCCACTGCAATCTCGCTATTCTATTTTATTTCTGGAAATTGAAAGTAAAATTACAATTTGTGCTTCAGAGTTATTTTTTATTCATTTTATATTCCTTTTGAAACAAATTCCATTTCCCATTCTATAATATGTCATTTCAATCTGTTAGTTATTAAACATAATTTTACATAGTAGGTTATAAGAAGAGTCTCAGGAAAAAATGTATTAGAAAAAAGAAATGGCCACAAAATTTGAAGAGAGTCTAACATTGGAAATTTTACAATATTTACAATATTACAGTGGTTATGGGGTGTATTTCTCTTGAAATACAATACGCTCTCTAAATGAGGCAATACTATTGTCTCAAAGCATGCTTCCTCCAGACAGTAGAGCTTCCTATCTTCACTACCAACCATTCCCTACTGATAAGAGAAAAGAGACATTTAGAGATTAGGGTTTGAATACTCTGGTATTCAATTCCTTAGGCCCCAATTCTTTAGGATCATGGGTAATAGATAACATTACTATAGCTAAAAATATGAAGTGAAGAGTTGTTCTCAAAAATGTGCAGAAATCCAATTATTAGAATGAAGGCCAGGGTCAGGTTAGCAGAAAGGTTGCAAGTACTAAATTCTCTGCTTGGCTTTATCTGCCCAACGAGAGCCTGTCATGTCTCTTGACAGCAGCCACTCCCTGACATGTAGGTACCCCAGAAGCATCTAGACACTGTGTTTTATGTAACTGGCTAGGCGTCTTCCCACACTTACCTCATGTCGGACTACATCCTACTATATGGTGTGTTGCAGCTACTAAGATCCAGCCTGTCTCAGGCTCCATCTGGCCTATTTAGATTAATGGGGCTATGAGTGAGCATATCATAAAGTAATGATAAATCATTAAATGCTCTAAAATGTCAATCATATGTGATTGAAATCATATTTGATTGAGATAGAAAAATATACTGAAAACAATGATAAGTAACTTATGAGAGTCTAATCGAAAAAAATGTCTGGGAAATTTGGGTGCAAGTGCTTTAAAGACATGGGGAATTCTCTGTCCTCCTTACAGCCAAGTAATAAAGAACTTTTTTCAATATTAGCTTTTGATATTATAGTCATACCGTAACTCTAAATGTGCAATGTATAAATTACAGATTATTGAATGTTCTAATTATTATAAAATAGATATTATACTGCTATTTTACTTCTTCCCTTTACACTTTTTCTCACTGAATTACAAAGGAGTTATAGAGATCTTTATCTTCATTTTAGGTTAGCTTAGGTGAAAATTGGTCCTGAAATAGTTGCAGCTTGCATTTTATTATTTTTTTTTTCCTGAAAGTAGATCAGGAGTGTAAAAAAGTATTTAAAATAAATATTCACTCTCAAATTATTTATTTATTAATTAAACATCTTAACATTATAGGTTAAGTCTGTGCAACTTATTTGGATTTATTCTCTTTTCTCAATAAGAAACAATACCACCTCCACAAAATCTAAAAAATAAAAAAAATTAATTTTAAAAGATGAGCAGAGTGAAGCTGG